TCTGAGAGTACTTTTTCTGCGATTTGCCGCTACTTTCTCAGGCCTTGAAATTCACTTTCATCTACCAATTGGCAATTGGCTGCTTGGCTTACTCCTTCGCCAGCTGGATTACTCGTAACATTAACATTAAGGCCCTTTGATCTTCATTGCACCAGCAAGCAACAAAAGTCCATTTTACCAATCAAGTGAATTAAGTAATTTCAATTTTCCAGCAATAGCAACTGCAGAAGTAGCACAGCTACCTACAACAACAATAACAACAACAACAACTTTGTGTAGATAATCCAGACAAATGGTTGGGCCAAACATTTGCACTTGAAAGGAAAGCGCCACAAATATTTGTTTACAAGCGCCTTTCTGGCAAACTTGAGCTTTAACTTATGGCCAGGGACAGCAGTAACGATCCACGACAGCGCTAAGCCAAATGATCGAACAATAATAACAACAACAATACAGCAACAACAACAGCAACAACAAGTTGTATCGATCGTTGCAATTAAATGAAAATCGTGATCGAAAAGCCAACAGCGCCTGTAATTTCACTAATTTTCGCAACGTGTTTCGTCATCGTTTTGTTTGCCTGTTTCCCAAATCGTACTCGTAACGGTCCATTTAACTACTTTGGTAGCAAACGGCGGCAATTGCCGAATTGCAACAACTTTTTTGGCATTGCCAATGCTTTCGACCATTGTTAACAGCTGTCAATAAACGGAATTCTATTTGTCAGATCAAGAATAGACCTGGCCTGTATAGACACTTCCAATTCGCATATGACTCAGACAGCTGCTGAATATGAAAATAATTTGGCGATTTTGTTTATTGATCCAAGTGCCGCACTAATAATTATAATTTACAATTTATTGGCCTGGCCTTAAATATAGAAGGATTTCTTTAAAAAGCTTTAAAAAATCCAAGAAAGCCTTTATTGTTTTTCTTCAATTGTACTATTTAAAAGTTTTCAAAAGATTGGCGAGTCCCCTCGATTGTATCTTTCCGTTCTTTTTCTTAAATAATATTATTGCATAAAATATTGTTTAATATTAACATTGTTAAATAACAATTAAATTGTTTGCAGAGCTGAATTTTCAAAAGAAAAGTCTTATGTGCTTTATAAATTCGTCAAAAATCAAATGATTTTTGTTAAATTGTCGTAAGACTTGACTTTTTCAACACAACATAAAAAATAAAATATAAAAAATATTTAAATAATGTTTATAGCTGCAAAGTGACATTTTTATTTTGACAGTATATGGTTATTTTTTTAAAATGTTATTTAAATTTTTTTTGTTTTTTATATTAAAAAAAAAATTGTATATAATTTCTTAAATGTTTATTATATTTTTTTGTATTTTTTTTTTTTTTGTTTTTTATATATATTTCTTTTTATTTTTTGAAATTTATTTATTTTATTGGCAAACAAAACTGTTATTGTAAAAAAAGAAAAAATTCAATACAAAAGAGATTATAAATAAATAAAACTAAAGCGTATAGAAATTACAAAAATATCTAATAACGAATCCGACTCGATGGGGGTATATTAAACAAATTCATATGTACTTACTAGGCTGTCCAGCTACTGTTGCGAAAGGCTAATGACTCGCCTGCAGTGCTTTTTGTGTTTAGGAACATGAAAATGCTTTGATTAACGTCTTAGCGGTGCTAATAGAATCAAGAAGAGCAACAAGTTTCCAAGAAAAACGGCAACCGCAGCAACAAAAGCAACAAAAGCAACAGTAGCAAGAAAAGCGAACAACAGCAGCGACATAATCGGTCATTGCTCATATAGGAAATGAATTTCTTCTGGCCATTGGAAATGGCAAATGCTCCTTTTCAACTGCTAGTCACGTTCCGAAGGGACTTGTACGATGACGTTGACAGTTTACATACTGCACGTACATACTTACAAAAAAAACTCTATACATACATACATTTAGACAGACATTTATGGAAAGGGACTCTGGACTCTAACGCATCCGAACGAACGCATCAGCAGCAGTTGCCGCTCCAGACAGCTTGGCTCCAACCAAATGCGCCCAGTGACAGTTTTTAGTTACATACATAAATGCCTATATAGCCCATAATGTTGTTGTTCTTGTTGCTGCTCTTAATGTGCAATTCTTGTTGCAGCTCAAAGCTAAAAGGCAATTACTTAAAACGGCGTATAATGAGTGCGCGAAAGAAGTTCTCATGAAGTCCGCGTAATTTATTTCATAAGTAAAGTAAAAGTGGAACGAGAATGATGCATCCATCCATCGCATTTGGGTGCCTGGTATTTAATTAATACGCGCCTAGAAAAAAGAGTCTCTTTTTCCGACAAGTATTGCGTTTTAAAGAGAATTCATTGTTGTTGCTATAGATACCTCTATAATATGCGTAGATAGGCATAGGAAGTATATAAAAGATGAGCTTAGCAAGCTTAATTTTGTTTACTAAAAGAAAAGTTATATAGGTTTTTTGTGGAGATTGGTAAATAAGTTGAAAAATTGCAATATACAGACTATGTACTTGTATTCATACTTGTATGTAAATTGTAATTATTTATTTAATCTTAATTGCAACCGTTGGTCTTTTTTTTTCAAACTACAAAATGCGTATTCATATGTAAATTGTAATTATTTATTTAAACTTATTTGCAACCGTTTTGCTTTGCTCATTTTTTCCAAGCTACTAATCGCGTATTCGCCAAATAACATTCACGCACACACACACATACATACATATGCACAGCTGCGAACAATGTTAAAAAGGTAGCCAAAAGCTTTTCTGTTAAAAGCTTTCTGCACGCGCAAGCTTTGGCTATAACACTGGTATTATAGCAACGCCATACAACTGGCTCGTTGGTCTAGGGGTATGATTTCCGCTTAGGGTGCGGGAGGTCCCGGGTTCAAATCCCGGACGAGCCCAAGTTACATCAAATATTTTTTTTATAATTTTAATTAAATTAATTACTATGTTAAATAAATTGCAACTACATTCATCTCCATATATCTTTGGTAACAATTTAAAAACTCTAATTATTTTAAAAATTAATATAATAAATATTACTAAGCACTAACTAACTGGGGCTCGTCCGGGATTTGAACCCGGGACCTCCCGCACCCTAAGCGGAAATCATACCCCTAGACCAACGAGCCGATTGGCTCGCGGTATTAACCAGTTTGTTAAAAATTTTAATTAAATCTATACCTTCATTCAAACTGGCTTTAACTAATAGTTGAATCATAAAAGCAGCGCTCGCATAAATAACCTATTCCAATATAAATACACACATGTTAACTTTGCGGGTGGGGAAAGCTACTTAACCTTAACCTATGGCAACTGATGATATATTTTCGGACCGGATCGGAAATAAATTAGTTGTAACTGTAACAAAAAAGTATCGCCAAAAATGTAGCGCAAATGTTGTTGCTGTCTTGACAAAAACCACGAAGCCATTATAGTCTTATTATGTTTCAGTTATTTATGTCAATTATCTTCCCAACTATATTGCCAAGTTGCATTTATAACTTCAATATATCTAAATTTAAAATTTAGTTAGTTTAGTTCCCTCTGATTTATTAATTTTCGGCACACTTAGCGTCAGTTTCGGTCGAAAGTATTACACCAAATGCTTACTTTTAAAGCAGTCTTTTCATATAAACTTTGAAGCCCGTTTTCTAGCATTTGGAATTGGAATTTTCCAACTTCTTTAGCTTCCTAGCTCTAATCGGCTCAGCTGTGCATTGATCACCAATATAAATCAATCAGTCAGGAAAATCTGTTTTATACACCTACATATACTTATAAGTAGATGGTATTTAAACAAAATTCGAAGTTGTTCAACGTTGACGGCTTTTTTTAGTTGCCGCCGAACGAAACACAGATTTTGCCGCCATCGACGCAAGTGGCTCGTTGGTCTAGGGGTATGATTTCCGCTTAGGGTGCGGGAGGTCCCGGGTTCAAATCCCGGACGAGCCCAATGGAGAAAAGGCTCTGGTCGGATTTCCAATTTAAATTATCTATTTTTTTTTTCTTGTTGTGTAAAAATAATATAGCCATTATAGGAAGAATAACAATAAACATAACAAAATGTATAAATTGCTAGATTTTCTAAAGTCATTTAGAAACTGTTAGCAATTTTTTTATTTATCTAAATATTTATTTTCGATCAAGTGGTTATTGCAATATAGTTTTGCCAACTCCGCTTAAAAGTCTCTGTATGTGTTTCGGTTAAGTTTAAGTTGCTACCAATTTGATGATTGTAATTTGAATAATGTTGTGACAATATAAACATTGTTTGAACTACCTTGTCATTATCTATTGATCAAAATGCGGGCTCCGACAAAGCCGCATTTGTCTTTATCTCAGTTGTTCTTGTGAATACGGCATTTATAAAGCCGATTAATAAAGCCTAGTGCTGTCTTATTTATAATTTCATAGTAGATTTTTGAGATCTATTATTTCTTAGCAGAGAAAAAATAAAGAACTAATTTAGTATACAATCGCCATTGGCGGTAGTCCATGTAGTGGCGAAATATCCACACTTTTAGAATTTGGATTAAGATTTCAGATAAGTTGGTCGCGGTCTGAATTACTTCTGTGAAAGAACAACTTTTGTGTTGTTCCTGAACATAATCCTGCTGCAGTTTTGCATATCAAAAGGCAAAAATCTGACGGTTCTGAAGCATAAAAATTAAAAGTAAGGATACTTTCTCCGTCTATTTCCATTCAACTGTTGAATTTTGAAAAATCGACAGCTTTACATAATGTTGGATAGCTATAAACTGTAAAAAACTTCCAATCCTTAACGTATAATAGCCTGTGCGTGATCGTGACGTCATTTTCTGTCACGTGCACATCCCTGAAAGGTAAATTGGCAGAACCAAATAAAAAGATGATTTGTTTTGATATATATATTTTTTTGTATTTATTAAAACATATTTATTTTAAACAAACTATATTAATTTTGTTGCACAAATAACGATGTAATTATAAATAATATTAACATTTGTTTTCCCACTCAAACAGTTACACATGCTGTTGAAATTCATTCGCTTTGAGTAAAATGTGTATTATTGTGTTTTTATTATATTTTCAAAATCGAATACCAATGGTTAACAAAACAAACACGTATTTGTGTGTTGTGTACACTCATATATGTATGTGTGTTTATTTTTAAGCATATATGTATAATGCATGTCGTATATAACTATAAATATTGCATACATATGTATTTGCGTGTGGAAAACAATTTCGATATAAGTATGTATGTATTCAAGCATATATGTATGCTATACAAACGAAACAAATCACATACATATGTACATTTGTATGTAAGTATGTATGCGTACTACGTACTAGAAGAAAGAAGAGCCTAAAGACTAACAGAAATTTCGTAAGACTCGCCATCCAGATGAGAGCGATTTAATGATTTAATAGATAACATTAAGACTAAACAAGTAAATGACACATTTTGTGGACATAGAAAATGGGTATATAATGGAGAATATGTATGCATGTTGATAGAGAAATAAATTAAATTGCAAACTCGTTATTATTATTATTGTTATAATTTTTGTTTGTCAATACAAAAATTTAAGCTATAAACACAAATGTGAGCAAATATTTTATAAAATGTAGAAACAGCTGCGGTTTGGCTTTGATGAAGCAGTTGTTGTGGTTGATGTTGTTTTTGTAGTAGTTGTTGTTGTTGTTACTGTTATTTGTTTAGTTGGTTTTCGTTGCTCGACGTCCCATCCAAGCATAAGCGGAGGGGGGTGAACAGTCGATGTTAGTGTACAAATAAAATGTTGTTGCTGCTGTTGTTGTTGTGTTTGTTGGTGTTGTCGCTGTCGCTGTTGCTGTTGCCTGAGCTGCCATCCACAACACACCACCAACATCATCATCACCATCTCACCATCATCATCACTATCATCGTCATCAACACTTAACATGCTGGGCACGCTGTTAGGTAACAGCAGGTCTAACAGTTGCCGATGCTCTGCTATTTATTATGTTAACGGCTTCTATTATTTTGTATTTACATGATTATTTGATTTTTAAATCTTTTTTCTTGTTGTTGAATTTTGCGCTTGCATTTGGTTAGTGTTGAAATGTTAAATATATGTTTAAATAGTTATAATTATGAATTATTTGTTATTATTATATGTATTAGCACTAATAATTCTTTGGTTGTTCCACTGGTTCTGTTGTTTGCTCTTGGTTTTATTGCATTGTTTTTTTTTTTTCATCCTATTTGTAGATTGTTTGTTTTGTTTTAATGCATTTTTGTTTTGTCACGTTGATGTTATTTAACATTTGTTCATATCGCTTTGTTGTTGTTGTTCTGGGTTTATGTTAATAATTGCTGCACTTTTAAACATTTGCTCGTGACTCGAGTTATTTTTGTTGGTTGTTACTGTCTGTGATGATGTTGGTGATGTTCTTGTGGTACTCAGGGCCTTCGTGCAGTTCTCCAGCTGCTTGACTGTTTTCAAGCTCTTGCCAAATGTGGAGTTGCTTTTCAGACCTATAAGCAGAGAGTAGAGGAGTGTAAAAGGTTATGAGAGGGTGTTGTATTGAATAATTAAGAAGACGCTCCCGCTGTTAAGGACTCATTTGCACTCTTTCTGTTAGTTGAAGCACTTTTATGTTAATCTTAGGGAACAGTAGAATTAGGCTTTTGTGGGTGTGGATGAGTTTGTGTGTATGGCAGTGTGTGTGTGTGTGTGTGTGTGCGTACGAGAGAGCGAGAGCGATAGCTTTGCCAAACACCGAACACGCTTGCAAAAACCAAATGGAAATGGAAATGTGCGAGAAAGTGAAACACATCCAGGCGGAAGAGAGCGTGAGACAGGAGTAGAAGCGTAAAGAGAGAGAGAGAGAGAGACTTGCACAACGATAAGAGTATTTGTGTGTTGCTCTTGTTGTTGTTGATGTTGTTTTTTTGTTCTTGCAGCTTTAGTTGTAGTTCTATTTTCGGTTGGTGCTGATGCCACAGGAAATTGTGAGAATTATGCATTTTGCATATTACCTTGAAAATTCAAACGGTTCTGATAGATGGCAAATATATCATTTGGCTTATAGCACGGCTCGTAGCGCATTCGTTGCCAATTTTCAAGGTCATCGCCGTTGGAATCACGAGCGCCAGTGACAGGCGCCGCCTGATAACGATTCTTTAGCATATGGGAGGGTATTACAAATAGGCTTTGCTCCAACTTCATTGGTTTGGTAATTGGGATCGTTGGCATTGGCATTGTTGCAGTGGTTGTTGTGGTTGTTCTTGTTGTTGTACTCGGTGCACACTGTACAATATTGATTGTTGTAGTTGTTGTTGTTGTAGCGGTGGTGATTGCAGTTGCAGTGGCAGTTGTTGGTTCAAGGTTTGGGTAGTGGAAAATGGTAACATAGTGTATTAGTTGTTGTTTCTGTTGTTGTTGCTGTCGCAGCCTTGGCTGTTGTAGCAGCAGCAGTTGTTGTTGTTGTTATTATTATTATTATTGTTGTTGTGATTTGTTGTTAGTTAGTTTTACATACAATGAGAGTGTAATTTTGTTTGTTAGTAGAGTTGAAGTTAATCAGAGTTCGAGTAATGTGAACATACCTCACTGTCTTGACAAGCAGCGTCGTCCTTTGATCCTGTGCTTAGTCCCTGCACAAAATTCACATCACTCGATGGATCTTCAGAGGCCAAATGGGCGCGAAATTGTTTATTTCTGTAACAGAGAGCAACAAAGAAATCGAAATAAGATAATTATTATAAATGAATGTTCTCTATATTAACAAAATAGGACAAATAATGTCAATACAATCTAGAATAGTTCTAGTCCTTTGCAAATGTGACATGTTTTTAGACGTTGCTTTATTATCCAGTGTACAATATTGAAAGATTTGTTTAGCTTTAAAGATGTACTTATAAATTCATTGAGGCCTCTGAGCAGGTCGGATAATACTTCATAATTTGTTAGATAATTAAGAATTGATTAGGCCTGTTCTAACCAACGACTAGTTAGTTCATTTACGTGATTAGACTAAGTGTGTAGCTTACCTCAGCTCTAGCTGCTGCATTTGCTGGAAATGCCGCAATTTGCCGTTCGCAACACGCAATTTCTCCTCGAGGGCTGCATTTTCGACACATTTTATGGAGTATTTCTCGGAAAACGAAAGAATCTCTTGGCGCAACTCTTCAAGCTCCTCCCTGAAAAATGTTGAGGGAGTAAAGAGCAGAGATGTAGAGATGCAGTAGAAATGGTACTTTAATTCTCATGCCAAGCACACTTACTCTTTGAGTTTGCCAGTGTCGCTCAAAATGTGTTCTCCTCGTTGCACCTGTCGCAAGAATTCCTGCTTGAAGCGAGCGACCTCGCGTTGCACCTCGCTCTGGTGGGCTTTGCGCATGGCATCGAGCGCGGCCAGAGTTGCCTGCAATTGTAGTGAGAAGCGTTCAAAGTCTGAAACAAACTCTAAGAGCGAGCATCTCTTTACCTGTGTCTCTTCGGCCAGTGCTGTCTCCTTCTCTGCCAGCAACCGCTCGATTTCCAGCTTGTGCTTCTCCTCGAGATCCCCAATTATGCGACGATGCGATGACTCCATGGCAGTTAGACCCTTTTCGCAGAGCGTCTGCAAGTAAGTAAATTAAATTACTCCTGCTACTAAGAGTTTTCTCTTGCTTACTTACCCTTAACTGTTCGATTTCGGTTTGATAGCGTTGTCTGAAGCTCTCATCGTCGGTCAAATTGCTGAAATCGGCTCCGTGTGTGAGCAGCTGGTCGCGATAGGCCTCCTGCAGGCACTCCAACTGCTTGCCATGCTCCAGTTCGAGCAACTCTAGGCGTTTCTCAAAGCGCTTGCATCGCTCCTGCTCCTTGCCCAGTGCGGCACTCAGTGTGTCTCTCTCTTGCAGCAGTAGTGCGTATTGCTCGTCCTGACGCGCACACTTCATGATTAAAGCGTCGCTCTCCTCCTGGTAGCTTTGGGTCTTCTCCACGGCTGTTTCAAGACGTTGCGAGAGTTCCGCATGCATTGCCTGATGGGCTTTCAGCTCCTGGGCATTCGCATCGAGCTGCTGTTGCACTGCCAGCAATTCGCGCTCTCTCTGATCGATCAACTCCTCGCTGCAATGCAAATCGCTGTTGAGCGCTTCTTGTGTGCTCTCCATTTGCTTCATGGATGCGCGCTGTTGCTCCAACTGTTGCATGAGCTTGGTCTGTTCATTGGTGTGACTCTGCTGCTGGCGCACAAGCTCGCTCTCCAGGGTGCACAGCTGAGCGCCCAGTTGTATGCAGTGGGAGCAGGGAGCGCTCAACTTTCTCTGCACCTGCTGTTGCAGCTGATCGGCTCGCTGGCGCAGCTCGCAACATTTATGGCAGACATCTTGCAGGCATTCGAGTTCGATGGCAGCTCTGGGTGTGCTCGCTGTTGTCGTGGCCGCTTCACATTGCAGCGCGATCAGAGAGTCCTCGAGTTGGCCCAGGAAATTGCTTATATCTGAGAGCACTTGGCGATCACTTAGGAAATTGAGCGTGTGTTGTTTGTACATGAACTCAAAGTCCGCTTGTGTGACCATATCGGCGGCTGTGCTCTGATCCAGCTGCAGATCGCTGGACAGTTCCTCGAACAGTTGCTCATACTTTTGCAGCGCAAGGATGCCGAGCTGCGAACTGGACTCTTGTCTGGAGGTGGAGGCATCTGACGCCTCTCCTTTGTATTCCCCTCTAAGTACAGCAATGCGAGCATCGATTAATGCTTTGTGCGCCACAATGTCCGCAAATTCTGCCAGCAGCTGCCTACCCTCCGAGGCTTTTTGCTCCTGCAGCTCCAAATGGAGTTGCCATTGCCCGCGTTTCAGCTGCTGCAAGGCTTGCTCATAGCAGCGCGTCAGCTGCGCCACTGCCTGTTCCATTTCCTTGCGCAGCGTATCGTGCACCGCATCGGCAAAACGTTCGAAGCAGAGACGTTCCTGTGCCGTCAGTGCATACCCAAAAGCCGGAGCACTATTTAGTTCAAAACGCTCCGCATTTCGCATCATAATGTGTGCGATTTCTGTCTGCACCAGTTCGGCATTTACAGTCTCCTGCGCTTGACGCCAGGCCTCCTGCACTGCACCTTGGACCAGATCGTTGGCTGCCATGTAGCTGAGAGTCTCGGCCGCCAGGCCAGTTGCCAAACTATCCATTGCCTTGTGCTTGTAACGCTTGGCTATTACATTCAGCTCGGTCTGTTGACGCAACAGTTCGTCCAGCACATTGGCATCCACGGGCTCGAGAGCGCTCTTGGTGGGACTTGTGGTGTTTGCTGAGTGTATGAGGCGCCTCGCCAGTACTCCCGCCAATATATCTACCGTACCGCTGGCTGCCTTCAAGGCGCACTTACCACTCAGCTTGGCCTTCAACATGGTCATCATATGGGCTGTTTCGGCAACTTCGGCGCGTGTTTGTCTGGCCCCAAAACGTTCGGGTTGCTCAGCGCGTGCCAGCGAATCGGACAGGCGACCAAAGCACACGCTTTCGTAGGCCACGCGTTCCGCTAACAGTTCGAGATCCTTTCGCTTTGTCAGCTCATTCCTTTCGCGCAGCATGCGCCGTTGTTTGAGCAAATCAGCAAGCTTATTGCGTAACTGTGACTCGAGTTGGGAGAGTGCCAGCTTGACGGGACTAGCGTTGTCCAGAAGCAACGCTTCCGTGGGATTTGCAGTCGTCACTGCGCCAGCCACCACACAAGTCTCACAGGATTCGCGTATCAGCTTGACTATTTCGGCGAGAGCGCGCTCCACGTGCCTATAGCTATCCTTGCGATCAGTTATGGGTGATACGGAGCGACGGGTGCGTTGCGTTCTTAGCTGTTGCAGCTGCTGCAAACTGTGCTCTAGCCTGTCCTTGCTGGCCAGAAGCACATGCTCCAGGCTGCGTAGCCTCTCTATGAGGTGTTCTGTAAGTCTGGGTGAAGTGATTCCTGTCGTCACTTCACTGCAGGAGCTGCTTGTATTGCTCGGCGGCGTCGAACATGCGGATATGCTTTCAAAGCGCTTCTCCAGATCATTTACGCGCACCAAAAAGCTAAGTGTAGAGGCGTCTGTCGCTGTGCTAGGACCCGTAGAACAGTCCAAGGAACGCCGACGCGCACTCTTTTTCCCACTTGAAGGCTTGACTTCTGCACTAACGCTATCCTTTTCTATGTGTTCGCATTTGCTTTCCAGCTCGCTGACCTTCAGTTCCAGCTCTTTGCTTACACTCAGCTGTTCCTTGCCCTTCAGCGATAGCGATCGCCGTCTCTCCGACTTGGCGAGCTTCTGCTTCAACGCTCGAACCTGTCGCTCGGAACTGCTGTACTTCAAAGTCAGGTCCTGAATGCGCGCTGCCATCATTTGCAGCTGGGCTCGATCCTCCAGCTCCTTGCGCTCCAAATCTTGCTTCAGTGAAGCGTAGGAGATTTCTAGTGAATCGAACTGGTTTTGCGACTCCTTTAGTTCGCGCTTCATGGCCTTAATTTCATTGACAGCCTTCTCAAAACGTGTGCGCAGCTCATTGTACTCCTCCGCGAGCGAGTCTCGCTCTAGGCAGTAGGGATCGATGTCGCTGATTGTTGTTAGATCGCTGAGCGAGTCCATGCGCTTCATTTTATGGCGATTCAAGTTACTGAGACTGGCTGCCAGACTATTGCTGCCCGCCTCAACTTCACGCAGACGTTTATAAAGCGTTTCGTTCTCCTCGATGCCGCGCGCCAATCGGTCCTCAAGCTGCTTAATTTTGGATTGACTCTCCTGCAGCTCTACACTCAGACTATCAACGATATCGGCGGCATTTTGCTTGGCAGCTGCCAGCTCGGCATTCAGTTGCTCACGCACCATTTCCATTTCCTGAATGCGTGCGTTCAGCTCCTGTTCCGTGCGTTCCAATGTCGTGAGCAGCTCCGAGAGACGCGCCTCACGAGACTTAGCCTCCGTGCGCAGTGTATTGCATTCCTGTTCGGCGGTACTTAGTCGAAACTTTAGCTCCTTATCAATTAGCAGCTCTTCCTGCACGGTGTGGATGCGCAGCTGCAAGGATGGTGGTAGTTCGTCAGACCCCACGCTGTCCACAGTGCTGCGCCGTGAGCTCGGGGGTGAGGAGCGGCTGCGTTTGTGCAGACGCGGACAGGTGCTGCTGTTGTTGCTGCTCGCCACTGTGCGCGTGCGCATGCAACGTTCCTTGTTGTTGTTGCTACGCAGCAGCGGAGGCGGCGGTATGGGCGGGGAAGGCGACAGGGGTGAGCCCCAATCGATGCTGTCCCGACGCCCACCCTCGGAGGCAGTGCGATATTCCTCATCCTCCGAGCTGAAGTGGGGACCCGTGAGTGGTGTTCGCGGCGTGGTGGGAGTCACGGGACTGCTGTGTGCGCTCAGCGGGGCCTTGGGTGGACGCGAGGGCAGCTTTTGCTCCAGCTGCGCCTTAATGAAGTCCTGTTCAATGTCCGTTGCTTTTGGCACATCTATGGGCTGTGATTGCTGTTGCTGCTGCTGCTGCTGCTGCTGCTGCTGCTGCTGTTGTTGCTGTTGTGGCAAGCCTGCTGCCTGTCGCAAGACGGCAACCCAGCTGTTTCGGGAATTGGGCGACAAGCTGGCCAACATCAGGCGCTGCTTATCCCAGGTGATTAATTGAAAAGCGTACTGCTTGCTCGCATTCAGCTCGGGCAGGACGTTGGTCAAGCTATTGACATCCAGAACGCCATCCAGGACACCACGCTCCTCCGACACCGGGTCGCGATAATAGAACAAGGCTGCACCGCTAAGTGTAAACCAATGCTTTGTCCAGTCTCCCGTCCGATTATCCTGCTTCATGAGCCAACCCTTCTTCGCATTCAGCGACTCCTCGGCCGCATGATGCTGTTTGCCGGATGCTGTTGTGGTTGCTGCAGAGGCCGGAGATGCAGAGGATGCTGTCGCAGCAACAGCTGTTGATGTCGTCGCTGACTTGTTGCTGCTGCTGCTGCTGCTGATGTTGGTTATGCTGTTGCTGGTTGTGGTTGCTGTTGTTGTGGCGCGCAATTCGGCCGTTTTGGCCAAGTAGTTGGAGGAGAGATCATCGAGGTTGCAGCCACCGTCGGGATCGCCGCGTTCGTGCTGATAATGTTGCTGCTGCTGTTGCTGTTGTTGTTGCAAATGCTTCAGTTGCAGTTGCAAGCGTGGACTAGATTTGCACTTGTGGGTGGTGCTGTTTTTCGTATTCGACTCAGCCTGCTGTTGCTGTTGCTGCTGCTGCTGTTGCTGCTTTTGTTGTTGTTGCGACACCATAACCGTGGGTATCTTTTTGACTATTGCCGATACAATGGCCGGCGTTGAATTTGCTGCCAGCGGTAATGACTTTGGTCTCAGATTGACAGTTTGTTGTGTTTGTTGCTGTTGCTGTTGTTGTTGTTGTTGTTGCGATGCAGTCGTCTTTGAGCTTTGAACTTGAAAATCTGTTTCATCGCGAGACGCCGACTTGGCCGACTCATGATGCTGATAATGGTGTTGATTGTTCAGCGCATTGTTAACTGCCGTCGACCAACGTTTGTTCTGCTGCTGACTTAGGTTCGTTATGGTGTTCGCAATATCCTTAATCGTCTTCTCATCTCGTCCAATACCCTCGATTAGCAGGCAGCTGGATGGTTGGGCAACTGCAATGAAAAGAGGAGGTGGTGTGTGTCAGAATTAGAAATATTATTCTAGAAATTATAGGTGTTTCTAATTGTCTTTCCCTAACTTCTTTTGAGAAATTCGCAATAATGTGGAAAGCTAAAAAAAAAACACGTAAATTTAAATATTTTTACCATAGAATTTTTACCACAGTGTGCTTAGTAGATTTAAGATTTAATATTAAATTTAAAGTGTGACGATATTAAAATGCAGTTGATGTCGTGAAGGTGGGTTTGATTCACGCCAAAGGTTTCTTTTATATAATTATAAAATATTTCCCCGGCTTTCGTAGCTACTCTACTGTATTTTAAATGTTTCTAATAATGACATTTCGTAAGGCACATTTTATATAAGTATATTTTTATTTTATTATAGGTCCATTTTTATTATTTGTTATTTATCAATATCTTGGCGCTTTTAAACGTTTTTAAAAGTGAGTAATAGCTGATTGAAGAGGGTTCCTATTAAAATTAAATATGGTTCAACATTAATCATAAAGAATTACACTTTTTTTTAAATTTTTATTATATTTATTCATATTTAAATCAGTAATTGAATATGTTTTTAGTTACATTTACGTTATTTAAATTTGATTTAAATACGAAATATTAGAACACTGAATTGAATATGAAAATATTCATTTATTTTTTTAGTGTACAGAGGAATAGAGATCTCCATTAAGTTCAGTTTGTGGCTTGCCTGGGCTGGGTATAGGTATGGAACTCTTATTATTATTTATTTATTATTTTCCACACCCATCAAGTTGCAGCTAATTAACAATGGCTTCATTAATTGCATTATAAAGTTAATTTTCCTGCCACACAGCTATCATATCAATGCCAATAACTTTCAGGGCACAGCCCATGCCACTTGACTGAAATTAACTTAGACACCGACTACTCAGACACACTCCACCCCTTTTTCTGCTCTCAAAATTTATGCTCCCATAAGGCCATAAAACGTGCAAAGAGCCAACTTATGTGCGAGCAAATATAATAAAATTATTAATATGGGGTAAAGGTATTTCTGGCCAGAGATTCAAGATGATAAAACCATGCAACCGAACAAGTTTCCGATGCCCTGACAGTGCTATAATTTTATTAGCAAGCCAAAGACGTTGAGTAGAAGTTGAGTTGAGTTGAGCTGAGCTGAGCCCGAGTCTGAGTCTGAGCCGAGTCGGAGAGTCGGGACAGCAAATGGCAGTGCGTTGCAGCGCCTCGTCGCTGTCTCAGTTGTCTCATAAAATATATGATTACAAAATATATATTTAGGCTTACTTAGGTTTCAGTCAGCTTCAGATTCAGGCAGTCAGTCGGCAGGCAACTGCAGCTCTGCTGTCTTCAAGGCGAGCCAAGACAACATTTAGTTTTATTATGATTATGATACAACATTTCGCCATTGCCTTGGTTGATGAGCAAGTAAATCAGCTCATCAGCTCAAGTGCCTGTTGAGACCAAAAAAAAAAAACAATAGAACAACATATTTTTTTTGGGGAAGAGCTCAGAGTCTAAGTGTGATTTGTTTAAAGGCGACAAGGAAAACAAAATAAGCACAGATCTAGTTCGTTTATATTTGTATTATCATTTTTTTAAAGGCACATTTGTAACTTTGTCTTCTATTGAAACTTGCCAAAAACCGGAAGAAAGCTCAGCTTTAAATGGTAAATAAATATCATACGTGTACATCATATAAACGCAACAAGAAATCACAAATAAGCACAAATTTAGTTTGTTTATAAACTTTTTCAAGGTACATTTTAAAAATTATTTGTAGCTAGCATCGCCTTCCATTGAAACTTGCAAAAATTGTTAAAAAAAAGCTCAGCATTAAATGGTTAATAAATACAATACATAAATTATAAAATGAAAATAAGAAATAAAAGATATAAAAAGATTCTTGAAAAAATAACCACAAATTTAGATCGTTTATAATTTTTGTTATATTTTTTTTAAAGGCACATTTTAATAATTATTTGTTGCTAACTTTTTGTCTACAAAACATTTCCGTTTAAACTTGCAAAAATCATTGAAAAAGTTCAGCAATAAATGGTAAATAAATACAATACATTTTGAAAATGAAAATAAGAAATAAAATATATAAATAGACTCTTGAAAAAGTAAGCACAAATTTAGAAAAGTTGTAAACTTTTATTATAAATTTTTTCAAAGTTCATTTTAATAATTAATTGTAACTAATTTTTTGTCCTCAAAAGCATTTCCATTGAAGCTTGCAAATATCTGTTAAAAAAGCTAAACATTAAATGGAAAATAAATATAATACATTTTTAAAATGAAAATATGAAATAAAATGTGTAATAAAATGCAATTTTCTGTTTCTTTTTAGGCAAATCAGTGGCACTTCATCATCATAATTTTCATATTATATGGTGAGTCTTAGACAGTTTTATTTCCTTTATTATGCATTTCTTCAGTCATATGTCTGTGAACTTTTGGAGGTTTAGTTTTTGAGTTGGGCAGACATAGAAGCTACTTGCAACTTTTTGCATGTATCTTGATTATTGGGACGCAACAGATGCAAGTTAGTCGAAAATATTGAAAGCAGAAAAGCGAAAAGGGGCGACTAGAAAATGTTGCAGTTGTGTGTTGGCCTTCTGCTCTGAACTTCAACTGGCAGCTTCAACATCATCATCGACAATGTTTTCGTCGTCATCGTCATCGTCATCTGCAGCGTCTTCGACTTCAAAGTCCTCTCTTGGCCCGCTCATCCATCTAGCTTATAGTATACTTGTATATAGGGTAGAGGCAGTCGACTCTGTCTGCAGTTCACAGTCACCGTCACCGACTGACTGAGTGACTGACTTACTCGTACTCTCTCGTCGTACCGTAAAATGTGTGCTACGAGTAGTTGTTGTTGCTGTTATTGTTGTTGCCGGCTGTGCTGTGCCACATGCAGGTTCAAGGTTATTGTGCTAAATGGGGGGTATGCCTTTAATTGGTCCGACTTGTCGGCTGCTGGCAAAGCAGCTACGATGATCAAGAATCATGGACAGTAAGAAAAGAGGGACTGATGCCGATGCCACTGCCACTGCCACTGCCTCATCCACTGCCAATGACGACGCCGACGCCGACGCCGATGTCTGTGATTATGTTCAGTTTTTGAGCTTGAGCCTATGAGACTGTGTCAGCAATGGAATTTATAATGCTTATGATATTACTCACACACATGACGTTCATACATACTGCCTAGTATACTATACTATACTATATGCCCCATAATGTATGTAGGTACGTATGTTTGTGTGTTTGTGTGTTGCATCTCAAGTTAGCTTTAGTGCCTCCACTTTACTTTTATCTTGTTCTTTGTTTCGTCGTCATGGTCGTCGTCATGGTCGTCGTCGTCGTCGTGGTTTTTAGACTTGATGTGTTTTGCACCATTTAATATTTATTGTTGCTTTTACTACGCGCTTTCAAGTTCAAGATCGCATCTCGGCCAGTTTGCTGCTGCCCTCGAAAGGTGTGTAAGGTGCTAAGTGTAATTAAGTTGATAAAAACTGTGTTTGCCGATATATAGCATGTATTCGGGGGTCCAGGTGCTGGGGAGTGAAGGCAGCCAGGCAGGCAGGCAGGCAGGCAGGCAGGCAAAGTGGAAAATGGACAGCTCGATGCTGTCTTCTGTATTGTTAAGAGTCCCCCTTTGATTATGTCGTTCTGCTCTACAATTATGACTGAGCCAAGAGCTCATGATAGAAAAGAAACAAAAGAGAACGCTAGTACTAGTAGTTACTTGCGCTCATACAGACGGACAGACAGACAGACGGACATGGCTATATCGACTCGACTTGTCATCCTGATCAATAATATATATACTTTGTGGGGTCTGCCACGCCTCCTTCTTACATTCTCAAAAAACTAATAGAGCCTTTTACGATGTGGGTTTGCATTTAATATTTAAAAAAAAAAAAAAAAACAATACAGCTGTGGTCAGATAGGCAAATAGTTTGCATTCAAAATTATTAAAAGCAATTCAAAAAAAAACCTCTTTGGAAAAAAAAAACAAACAGTATATCTGCATCAATGGCCAGAAAGGCAAATAGTTTGAATTTAATATTTTCAGAAAAAACAATACAGCTGTGGTCAGATAGGCAAATAGTTTGCATTCAAAATTGTTAAAAGCAATGCTTTGGAGTTCAATTATTTTCATTTTGATGATTTGTGTAAATTATTTACAGCATTTGTGCAAACTAGAGTAGAGTCTAAATCGACAAGAGAGTTATAGTTTCCATAAAGCAAACTTTATTAACATATTTCCTTTTATATTTATTTTATATGTATGGTTCTATTTTTGGTAACCTATGATTTGGTTTTTATAATAAAATACATATATTATACATTTTATTTTTCTGGGCTGCAGTTTTAGCATCCGAACTTTCCCAGTTGAAGAGCAATGCAGCCCATGATGACATACATATATACAAGTGTTAAACATTTTATTTTTCTGAACTGCAGTTCTAGTATCCATACTCTATATTTCCAACAAACTTTCTCAGTTGGAGAGCCTTAATTTTAGTTGCACTTTAAATATTGCTATTCTACTTATTTCTCATCGGTGGATATTTAAATAAATGGCTGATATTTTGAAATCTTCATCAATTGTACTCTATACTGCTGCATAGCCACACCCCTCTTGGGATGCACTCTAGTTAGCCAAGTACGAGTGGTAGTAGCTGTTGCACAATTGCTTTTAGTTTTGCCTTAATTAACAAACATTTGATTAATTATATGTGCAATTAAGCCAGCACTTTGCAATCTACTCGATCACATGCAGGAAGCCTGCTCTCTCAACTCCGCCTCACAATAATAAATAATCCAAATTGCAACTTGATTTGCTTGTCCGATACTCGTGCGGGGCCTTCGGACCTTTTCGGGTAACGAAAGCGAAAATTGCATTGCCTTTGCATTGCTCTCGCACCCATGATGTATGACTTTGATTGCCAAGTCTTCCCCCTACCCTTCCCCATCCCCTCCCCCACTCCATTCCCCCACCCCACCAACTAGTGCTCGAACCAATGACTTTGAACGATTTCTAACTGGTCCTACTGGCAACTGCAGCATAATTGCATAAATTTGCCAGCTTCTACTGCAACAGCCAGCAACAACAACATAAACAACAAAAGTACAAACCCAGAGTCGTTAAACTTATGAATATTGATTGAGTATTGGGGCGCAGGCGCAGAAAAGGGCGAGATCAAGCGATAAAGTCTATGAACTGCACTACTCACCCATTTACGGGCAGTGTAGAGTGCAGTCCCCTTAGCTTAGAGAAGAAAACGTGGCATAGGGAAAATATTACTGCGAATGGGATTAATGCTCTGGCGAAAAGATTTGAGATGCTTTGAAGAATAGAGATTATGGAAAAAGTTGCGATTATTTATTTTCCAATTAGTTTTTTCTAATTTCCTATGATTTTTATTTTATTGTCAGCCAATCAGAACTGGATAAGCTAATCTTTTCATATGAAATTGAAGTGTTTTGAGCATATCTAAGAAGCAATTGAACATTTCCTAACTACAAATTGCAATGCCTAACAATATTTGTCATTATCCGAATTTGAAGAGTTAATTAAAATAGATCTTGCCCTAAATCCCCTCATTCTCGACCTGCCATTCCGGTTCCACTCGAGTTTTCCAAATAATTTTAAACATTAATCTTCGAAGCCCGGTATAATAGTGTATTTTGTTAGATTCCACTGCTCAGGGAACATGTATTTATTTAATAATAGTTCTTTTAGGATAGATTCTAAATAAAGTAACAATTTATATAAAATAACTAGTTAAAAAAAAATAATTAAAATAGATTATATTGGTTCTATTCTATTTTCTTCTTATATCATACTTCTTTAGATTACGTTAGGATACAATAGATATTGTTGTATGTCAATGAGAAGCGATTATGAAGAATGAAAAACGGTTAATAGCTATGAGCCTACATCCATTTATTGATATTCTGCCACTCATAGAGTATTGAACCAGCAATATATATTAACTACCTCTGCTAATTCTACGTAGTCTGTTTATTCACAGCTCTCTATCGACCCATCTCAGCTGTTCTAAAAACCTTCTTCTAGAAGCCCCCTCAGGCATCTCCACACAACTCCACACTAGCCCCTCATTCATGGTGATTGCTTGGTAGCTTCTCTCTTCTGGGCTTCCACAACTGTCATTTATTCAATGGCACAGAAGTCGTCCAAAAGCGAACTAGCTTCATATTTTACTCTTACTTCCTCCACTCAGTTCCATAACTTTGTTAGGCTCCCTGGCAATCTGTGTGTCTAGACTTTCGTAGGCAAACCAACAACAACAACAACACCATCGCCATCAGCAAGAGCAGCGTCAGCGCCATCGATGCTCCAACCAATGCCTTCGTCTCGGTCTTCCATAATTTGTCTTTGTAATACAATCTTACACTTAATTTGGAGTTTCAACAACCAATTTTTTCTGTTGCAACTTCTTAGAAAAGCCCTCGCACATGCTTCTCGTCCTCGTCCTCGCCTCTGCTGCTGCTGCTGCTGCTGTATTTTTTCTTCTCCTTCGCTTGTTGGCTCCAAGGGCTGGCTCAATGATCCTTAGTGAGGCAAATGACGCGCTCGCTTTGATTGTGGCCTGCAATATCATGAGTTGTTGTTTTTTCTGCTGCTCGAACATGATTTGGTGCTTCTTCGTGTGTGTGTGTGTGTGTGTTGCTTAGATATTCATTCATATGGTGGCTAACAGGTGAGGTGATGCTGTGAGTTACAAACAGCACTTCTTTCTGAGCTGTGTGTAATTTTTTTTGCAGCGACCCCCCCTCGTTCTCCTCGCACTCTCTTTTTCTATTCATTCATTTATATCTGCCTCTTGGACCAAGATTTATTTTCACTGTAATTATTCACTTCAGCCCCTCTTCTCGTTGTTGTTGTTGCTGTTGTTCAGTTCAGTTGTGGCAACTACCGTGAAACTTGGCCATTACACGCCAAGCTACATGAACATTGCCAAATACCACATGTTCGCACGACCGACCACAAGGTTGTCGAGTTATGGCACATAACGTTAGAGAGGAGCGACAATTTTCTAAACAAAGTTGTAGGAAAGACTTAAGGAACGACATAACAATAATTGGTGAAGATAACACTGGAAGGAATCACTGCTTTAGATATTAGCCACATCTCCAGACTACAGACTACCATCACTAGATGACCGTAGAATTTGTTTAGGAGTCACTCTTCTTCACAAACACCTTGCCGGTTATATATTCCCTTTCCTTCTGGGTCTCGTAGAGAAGAGCTAACTTCTCTTGATATTTACTCGTACATTTCGTATACTTCGATTGCTAATCTAATATCGCGCTGAAATAATTATAACCTTTTTTCTAATCACATATTTTTTGAATACTCCATTAAGGCTATTTCATCATCAATATATTCGTGCACTTTGCTTTAAACAGTCTCTTATCTATATCGTACTCTTTCAATTATTTCACATTTTGAATTTTAGTTTAGGGTATATGATGTAATATCTTAAATTCTTTTGTACATATATTTATATATAAATATTTTTTTGTCAATTGTTTTTGTTTTTTTTTGCCATGTTAGGAGTTTTTGTTAACTTTAAAAAAATACAAATATAGAATCGCGGTTTTGCAGATAATAGGTTTTAAGTTTTAGTTCTACAGTTCAATAATGGATCCCAATACGGATAATAATACTAGCAATAAAAAAGATAAGTGGAGGGTAAAAGTTTTCGATATAGTGTTATTTATAATTGGTGTTATTTATAAATGACATTAACTTACTGTTAATTATCTAGTTCGAAAGGGAATAAATTACAAAGCTCAATAATGGATCCCAAAACTAATAATAATACTAGCAATAAGAAAATAAGTGCAGGATGACAAGTTTGCGATTTTATATTGTTTATAAATGATATTAACTTAAGGTTAATTATCGTATTGGGAGAGAGAAGAGGTTCCCCTCTTGAATAAATTACAAAGTGTTAGGTGTTGTGGACAATTTTCATAAACTTGCCAAATAAATTTTAAGTTCCAATAGAATCTAAGTTAGTCAAGGTACATTAGATATATTTATATATTACTTTCTTCTTTATATTGGTGACTAAGAAAACTCTATAAAAAGTCTCTGCTAGTTCTGTCTAGACTGTCTCTGTTCGAAGAGCAGGAAAATACTTCGCAAGCCTATAACAGATAACTATATTTCCCTTTTCCGTTTCAAATATTGAAAGAGTTATCAGACTACTTCTTCAGCTCCATTTCCATCACTAGATATACATGTATTTTTTGCTAACACACGCCTCGTTTTGGCCACTAACCCACCAGGCCGAGCGTGGTGGTGAAAATATTTTAGTTTTGGCCTCTGTCTTCTGACTTCACTTGAACGCCGCCGGCTATTAGGTGTAGACAGTTTATAATCGTTGTCGTCGCTGTTGTGCGGAGCATCAAGAGGAGCGTCCAAGTCCAAGTCTTTCCATTCACAAAGCTCGCACGCCTGGCATGATCTCCGTCACCGTCTTTTACTTGGTCTTGCTTGCGGTCTTGGCCTGCTGGTGACCAAGAGTGGACAATGAATTGCCTCATTTGGCGCACCATTTCGCTTATTGATGGAATGTAATTAGTTTGCGTCAGCCATGTGAAATGGTCCTCATCCTCCTCCTGGCGACTGTCCCTCTGTCCGCCCTTCTTCATTGCATGCAAAAATACTTATTGTTGTTGCTGCTGTTGCTGGTAATGCATGGACATTCCGAGTGGGGTCGTTGAATAAATACAATTACGGTTACATTCATGGCTGTATGTGTTCATTTAACCTTCCTCCCATCTCCAGCTCCTTCCTGCTAGTCCTCGGCGTATTGCAGAATTCCAACTGGCATTGCGGCGCGCTCCTATTAGACCCTGGCATGAGCATAGCATGTCGTGGCAGCAAAAGAAAACAACAACAAAACCTAAAACTTCGGCGCCTTTGAAGCCCAAACACGCAAATGCGTTTGGCCCGGACTGGCTGGCGAGTCTCTTGCTTTCCATTTCAATGAACGCATTAGATGCGTAGAACAAGTTGCAGTCCAAGTGGAGCTAAGGATTTATCCAGGTAGTTGACTTGTTAAGAAAAATAACCAACAACAAATGCAAATTCCTTGCGAAAAATAATGGAAAACTAAGTGGAAAAGGGAAAGTGCGGCTCATAACTTATTTAAATAGTTCTATACGCATTTATGAAGTTCAATTCAAAAATATGTTTACATTTTCATCAATCATTAGATTTTAAATGGAAATTATTTATTTTATCATTAACTTAAAATCTATACGATTGGTAAATACTATAATATGTGTATTATTTGTTTTTATTTACATAAGTAGACTTGGGTTTACAAAACTTAAAATCTACTGAAAAGGAGCCATGGAAATTATACGATTAGTAAAAACTATAATATGTATATTAGGAACTCTTGGAGAGTTTTTTCATGTTAAATCAAAATGTAATTCGCGTCCTGTTGGCGTTTAGTTTGTTTTGAAAATATAAAAAACTGGTATTACTATTATTTACTAATAATAATATGTAGTTTTTTAATACATAGTAGTAGTATTTGTTTTGTGTAGGACTTGTTCTTTGCTTAATGATGACTTGGACTTCTTTTTTTCCAAAAAATTGTTGTTAAAGTTAGTCTTTTCAGAGTATTGCCTTATTTTTTATGATGTTTGCAAACAAATTTGGAAATATCTTTTTTAAAAGCACATCCAAATACTTAAAGAGTGGACCAAAAAAAATTCATTAAATCATTTAAAAAAAATATTTAGGTAATAAAGGAAGCCCAGACAAGTCAGTCGCGTTCGAAAGCATTGCTTTATATTTTTTAATATATCACAAGAGACTGCAAGTTCTTAGAATTAGTAAACATTTTAATAGTCGCTGCTATTAAAATGATGAATTGGAGCAATTTCGATGACTCCACAGGTTTTCAGCAAAAATTGTAACATTTTATAAAAAATTCAAATACACAAAGTATTCACTTCACTATAAAACTATATGTATGTGAATTAGGGAGTATAGTAAGTGTGTGTGTGTGTGTGTTTGTGTGTTTGTGTGTGTGCCAAACAACTAGACAGTGCACACACTATAATTTAAGCGCGAATATCATTTTTCCATGAACAAGTATCCTGCAGCATTGTATGTGAGAACATTCACAGTAACTGCAATTACTGCCGCAGGGAGCGAGGGAGAGAGTCTAAGGGACGAGTGGGAGGGGGCAGGGTCTTAAGGTATGGACATGGACAGTGTGTCTACATGGGGATCTTAAGAAAATTTATGAAGCCTACCATTATACGATGTTAAGTAGCGAGCAGTCGCTCCTTCCTCACTGCCATAAAGCGGACCAACTGGACGCACTTCGTTTGTTATACATACAGCCTTGTTGCGAGTATGTGTGTGTGTATAGGTGTGTATATAGGTGTGTGTATAGGTGTGTGTATAGGTGTGTGTATAGGTGTGTGTGTGTGTGAATTCAAGGTTAATTTCGTGGCTGTGCTTTTAACTAGCTGCACGCATTGCCCCCGCTCTGGTCCATTCCATTCCCCCTGCCCCAACCAAGTGGCTTGTGGCCAGACTCTTGTGCTTGATAATTTTGATTGCTGCAAGCCATAAATGATCATAAAAATTATAGCAGCAGATAGGTAGCGAGCCAAGCAGGTAAATGTGGTAACAACAACAAAAAGAAGAAATAAAGAGAAATATAGAAACGACTCAAGTTGTGAGAAAACTCTGTTGTCCAAGTGTTTAAATAAATGTTTTGAGATTAAGTTGCAGGATCGTTTGATTTATGACTCACACACACACACACACACACACAGAAATAGACTAAGGATTTCTGTGCGCAGCTCAGCGAAATACTAAAATAAATGATGGCACAGACGTGAAATAAATCAAGCCCTGATACTTATGCCTTTAAAAAAAGTAAAGTTTGACGAATTTGTACTGCAAAGTGTTTGTCTTGCTTGTTAGCCAAGTTGCATGTTTCCCAATTTTGTTGACGGTTATTTATATGTGGTATTTACTAATAAAAATGTAGCTTTATAAATCTCTTTAAGAAGTGATTTTGTCACAAATAAAATAAATCCTTTTTTCTTACTGTGTGTCTCCACAAATTCTAAATTCTAGACAAATTTTGATAGCTACATATATTGAAGTCTAAGAGACGCTTCAAATGTCATTTGTCGCTGCGAAAAGTTGTATTCCGAAATTTAATATTATTTTTTGATATTTCTTTTTATATAACGCATCTGGACACACGGTTCGAAGAATAAATGTTATGTTTGCAGAAGTTGTTGCTTAAAAAAATAAATAATTGCTCAACAAACATAAAACACAGCGCTATTGGTTTATAAAACTATATTAAAGAAATATGAAATTAGTGGTATTTTGAATACTGCTGCCTAATCTTGACATCAAAAAGTGTAAAAATATTGTTAAACGTGTTTTTAGGAAAGTTCGCCAGACAAGAAAATAAGTGTTCAATAAGTCAGTCTTCTCACTAAAATATTCTGGCATTTGTAAACAATTTTAGTGAATTCTTAAATGAATTGTTCATGTTTTTTCATCTGTTTGCTCATCAGATCTTAATTATTAATATTATGTAGTAGCATCGACTTACCTCTACTTGTGATCTCATTCCCGGCATTGCGATTGTTTTCATCCTGACCGCCTAGGCAGCTGGAGCCTTTGCCCTTGACACCCGATGAGACCTCCTCCTCATCTTCATCCACATCCTCGCCGGTCTCAACACCATCATCCTCCTCATCATCGTCCACAATGTCTGCCGTTGTTGTTGTCGTTGTGGCCGGAGTAGTGCTGGTATTGGGCGTATTACTACCATCGTTGCCAATCAGTAGACTGGCGGCCGACTGGGATGACGTCAGAGTGTCCTTGTGGTAGGAGCTATGGCGATTGTTGAGTGTTGTCACAAGACCCGCATCGGATTTTGTCGCTTGCAGCAAACTGGTGGCCTGGCCACCTGGCAGTGTTGCGCTGCGTTTGTGGCGACCCTTCGATTTGGGGAAGGCGGTCAAGATGTTGAGCCACCATTGCGATTCATCCGGACTGGTGCCCTTCACGAAGGTCACCCGCTCCGGCGCAGTTATGGCAATGGAATTCGTGTGTCCCGTCACATCCTCGGCGGTGGTTACCTCCAGCACTTTGGTCATATCAATGCACGCCTGTGGCACAGTTTCGGGCTGCAATGTCAGGCAATAGGTGAAGCAATAAGTACGAAGGAAATACTCGTATTCATTAAAAAGAAAAAACAAATTTAAACCGAACTGATCGCAATTCTTACGCCCCAATGGTCAAGATTGAAATCTTTCTCGAAAAAAGCGGAGCCCTCAACACAGCATGAAAATAATATTAATATGCCGAAATATTGGCTGTGACAAGCCCGATTTGCCAGTCGAATATTGTTTTCTTTGTATTTTGTGTACTTTTCCAGCAGATCTTCGCTGCTGATCTGGGCAGAAACATTACTTTAATGTGAGCTCGTTATCACTTGTGCACCGTATGGGGGCCGATGGCAGTGAAGCGAACAGAGATCAGTTGCAGTCTAAATGCTCATAAATAATATTGTCAATATTTAAGAGAATTGTAATTTATATGCGCCGGCGCTTGAGGGCAAGCACCGTCTCTGAAGTCATTCGAAAAGGGTATAGCATTGTCTGGTTGCAAAGAAACCGGCTGAGCAGTTGCGGTGCAGGCTTTATTATTGATCGCTTGTTGCAGTTTCTTTATATATACTTGTATATATATATTTTTTTGCTGGTAAGACTTTTGAAATATACTTACATAATCATCCACTGAATATGTCAACTCGCCATCGTCGTACAGCACAAACCATCGTCTCTGCCAGCGCTAGAAAGATAAAGCAGAAATAAATAAATAATTGTTTACTACGGTCTTCTGGAAGAATTAAATATAAAGGTAGATAAGTGTTTTATATCTGCAGCAAATATTTCAGACTTAGCTCTAAAGATGTTCAACTCAGAGCTTTTCTTTTGGGGTGTTCATAATTGAATTTAAATGAATTTAAAATGCATTTTATTTCAAATTAAATATTTCTTAAAAGAGTGCAATTTTAATTTAAACTAATAATTTTAGTTAACATGATTAAACCTTATTCTTATTTTACTTCGGGTGCTCATAATCGACCTTATATTCATTTAAAATGCTTTTTATTTCGAATTAAATATTTTTCAATGGAGTGCAATTTTCATCTTGAATTTTAGCTAAGAATTTTAGTTAACATGATTACACCTTATTCTCTGCCATTATTTTAAAGCTAACCATCGGCGCAATTTGGAAACCTCTTTGTTGCTTAAAAGCCAGCTATTTCTAACCGCATTTCCATTTACAATATTTTTTGCCCGCACTGTAAATTAAGCTTCGTTTTCATTTCCTTCATTAATTCTGATTTCGCAACTCAAGGCCAATTAAATAATTAGTTAGGCGGTTTAGTTCAATATTTGGAAATGCTAATGAGTGTTTGTTTGTTTGTGTGTTTCTCAAGTGTTGCGAGTAAACAATATTAATGATTAAACCAAACAATCACAGCTAATTAAATAAAATGCCGCACCCATTAGGCACATATTTAGAAAAGAACAACATGTAAAGAGTAATATTTATTTGCTCATATCAATGTTTATATGTAATAGGTTTTGTTTAAGCAGTGATGACACATGTTATTGCTCTCGAAACTCAACTCTTTCAGTCGCAGATGTTTGAAAAGCTGGCTGGGAAATTCTTAAATTTAACCCCGATAGTCCCAATACACAAAAAAAACTACGACCAACATTGATTGTCTACGACTCTAGTGGCAGACTTTTAACATTACAATAAAGTATTTGCCTTTTAGCCAAAGCCGTGTAGAAAAAGACCGTGTAAAAACAGAATTATGTGCATAATTGTTTTCACCTATATAATTCTATTTTAGCAAGTGGCTTTATATTTCCCGAGGCATGGTGCTTAAGAGGCTTCCAATATGGGGGAGCTTGTTCAACTTCAACGCAAATTTCTGCATCTTCTACGGGTTCAGGATTATGCTGACCTACAGCTCTATAATCGCTACTATCGCACTCAGATGATGCAATTCAAAGCCCAGAGCCTCACTTAATATCTGTAGTGAATACGTATTATAAGAGCTTCCGATCCATTTTACGGATTCAGTAGTGTGAAAGGAGGCCTAGCTAGCTATTCGTTTCGTAATGTCCTTTCTAATAATGACAAACAATGTTGTGCCTATTTTTGAGTAGAAACCTGTCTTGGCTTGGGTTTAGTTTATTTTGTATTTATTTTATATACGTAACCTTATTCGATATTGGCGTACTATTTTGCTCATTTTATTGTGTTCGTTCTGAGAGGAAGCGATGAAACGTATTCCTCACTCGCAACTCATCATGTGCTGTCGTCGGATTCTTTGCAATTTGCGCACTTAAATTATGAATTGCAAACGTTCGCAACGCCCCCGCTGCTTGCCTCTTGCCTCTTCTACTGATGTTGATGATGTGCATTCGCCCTCGCCGTCAACATAAAAGCTAAATCATAATTCTTTCATATGCAGACCTTTTTCGTTCCTTCGTCGTCTTCGTTGGCTGTTGTTGTCATTCTCATGAAAATTATCGTAGGAGCCAACGCCTTCTTGCTGTTGCACTGATTTTTATTATTATTATTGTTGTTGCTGTTGTTATTGTTGTAGTTGTTGTTGGTCTGGCTGGAGCTGCTGTCGCAAATGAATGCAAAAATCATAACAAATGCCAACAACAGCCACGGCATTGACTACACCTAGGCCTGCACAACAACAACAACAACTTCGGTTTGATATTTATGCAAATTGCTAAAAGTCAAAGCAAATTAAGCTCAAGCTTCAAGAAGATGACGTTGAAATGTTGCCACAGAGTCTTCGGAGGAGCTGAAGACGAGGAACGCTGGGCGAGGATGAAGTACTTGTTGGCCGGCCTGAAGTTGATTTCTCTCTCCATTGCACACACAACAGTTGATCAGAGTTGTTCCTGTTGTTGTTGTTGTTGTTGTTACTATTATTATTTGTGAAGTGTGTGCATGGGTGTGTCTGATTCTCCTCTCCTCTCTCTTTCTTATTTTTTTTTATTTATAGGCACTTCAAAAACACACTTACAATTGGAACCAATGTGATTGTGAGCTCATTTCTTCTAGCATTTCTTATACTCTAGTGTAGAATGTTTGGCAAGTGTCTGCATAAAGCTTAGAGATATATAGACACACTCTCTAACAACCTCATCTACCACCATTTACCATCATCACAAAAGCCTCAAATCATATTTTTAGTTCACGTTTATTGTGGCTATTAAGTTAGTGTTCAGTTCAGCTCACCACAAGACTTTCTACGCGCGTTGTATTTCTTTCTGTTATTATTATTATGTGGCTTATTACGAAACTGTCATGCGGTTTTCCGAAAACAAAAGGAAAATCTTGGCTTGGCAGGCGACGTCATGTGCTCGCATCTCGCTTTGATGCCTACGACTGGCGACAATTGCACAAAAGTGAAATATGAGATCCGGCGACGTGATTTCGACTGAGGCGTTGCAGTGGAAAGAGCGGCTTAGATAAGAAAACACCCCGATTATAAACAAATAAATGCATGTAGGTGGACAATCTGGAGTTGAGAGAATAGTGGCGTTGGCGTCAGATAAATGGCATACCTCAGCAAATTAAAAAAGATTCGATTTCATAATTTCATTCTTTTTATCTGCTCTTGTAACTCCCTTAATTGTTGACATCATTTAAGAGTCGAAATGAAGAGTGAAATGTGCACAAAAGATGAATAGAAGAAATGACTTTGTCAAGTAAAGGCAATTCTTCTCTAACGAAAGAAACGAAAACAATATTTTTTTTTAGAAATAGATGATCTAATATTTAGAATAGATGTGAAATAGAATAAATATAACATCAATTTAGTGAAAATAATACAAATTGGATGCAAAAAGCAATCAAATCTTATGGTCACTAACAACAACAAAAACGAATTAAAAGCGGGCTAGAGAATCCACAATTATAGCTTTAAAAGACCTTATATACTCTTGTACAGTGTATAAACAGACAGAATCAGGCGTAAGTCCTCTAAACATTCTTGGAAACAGTAAGAAGAATGTCCAAACATTTTCATTTGCAAAGCTCCTTAGTAATAGTATTACTTTTATTTGAGACTTAATATTGTGTTAAATGAAGAGAAAAGTGTTGTTCATTTGTACGATCAATACCCTGTAGCCAAAGGCTATGAAAATAAACTAGTTTTAGTTAAAAACCTATATACATAGACAACCAGTACCTTTTCCTTGATATGTATATCCAAATCTACTTATTAAAAACCTATTAATTTCCACAGACAAAGGTGCCTGCATATAGTTTATAATGTGTAGATATATATGGGGTATATGCGTAGTCAGTTAGTGATTTTGGGTTATTATAATGATTTGCAGATTTATAATGATTACGTATGTGGAAGATCCACGTGGCTCCCAAAATCCAAGGCAGATCAATAAGAAACCGTAAACGTCTGATCTGTTTCAGTTGCTTTAATACAATACAGTGAGCATGACTTAAGAGCTAGTTACAATGTGTAAATTAATCAGCTGTAGTTAACCCTTATATGACAATGTTCTGTTGGATTAATTAAGTTTATTCAAACTTTTTTGGTTACTTTGGTTTATAACAATTAACAATGTTTCTTAATAGCCTTACTTTTTTGACCATAATTTAAAAATTCTATGAAATTAATGTCTTATTGGCTGTCCTGCTCTTGAATATTTGTTCAATTCTGATTAAAAATTAACACTTGAATGGCAGACAATCTAGTAAGCTATCTGAGTGCTACTTGTATTTATTCAGTTTCCCCCCCTTATGCAATTCAATTGCTTCTTGCAGTCTCGTCAGCCTCGTCATTCTTAACTTTGTTGGCACTTAACCCATTTACCCATTTACTCTGCTCGCTTACAAAATCCCAGTCACATAAGTAACAATTGCATAAACATTTCCTCTTATGTTTTAACTTGTAACTGTTGTTGTTGTTGCTGTTGTTGGCATGAAGCCCCTGCAATTTCTCGACTTCGTGCCAAAAGTCAAATGGGTTAAAATAATGAGAAACTGGGACATGGGTGCAAATTAGATTAGATGTCGCAACATTTCTCTGCCTACTCGTATAAAATGAAATGCCAACGTGTGCTGGAAATATAAAACGCAACCATGTACGAGTATATATGTCAACTAACCGTTAGCTTCGGAGGGCTAAGCGGCTTAGTGGAATGCATCGAAGAAAAAGCCTGTAATTGTGATTAAATGGGAATCATTTAAAGCAGGGGTGCTCCTCTTCTGCCTCTCCTTCTCGGGCAAGGTGAAACGTCAAAAGCTGAGCTGCTGATAAGCGCACTTATCGAGGGGTCTCGTCCGATCACATTCGGCATTCGGCATTCACAGTTAGTCTAGTGACGCATTTCAGATGCTGCCTATTTGTATTGTACTGATAAGGCTAATTGCAGGTACTGATCTGTCAGGCGAGGCATTTGGGTTCAATTTGAAGCGAGAGCGGGAATTAGGTAATCTTTTTTGCTAGGCTTTGAATTGTATTTGTAGCACACTTAAACAAGTACTAGTTTAGACTAGTTTAACAGTTCGTACTTGGCATGTGCTGTGATGCAATTAAGTACAAAGATGGGTCAGAAGAGCTGATAGTGTCCCAGATAACCTCATTATTTGATGATGCTCGTATGTTAAATTGTGTATGGGGCTTTTCTATTATTGTGTTTCGTGTCAACGTCAATTAAATTGATAATGACATTAAGTAACCCAAGTGGGTTACACGTTGTGCAAATTATTTCTGCTAC